TGCGGAGAAAAATTTTAAAATCGACATTATAAGAGTGTAATATTATAAGGATGGCATGATATGCGAGAATTGGAAAAATCTTATTCCGATTTTGTTTTTTTTTGCTTGTTCTTCTTTTAAAATCTCAGACATTATATGAAATATTTTAAGATTATAAAATTGCATATTGAAAATTTAAATTCGAACGTTCTTCTGTGTGTGTATGGTTATTCAGAATATTAAAAAAATCAATGCTAATCACAATTAAACTGTTTGAATCACTTTGATGAAATTCTTTTTTTTACAATACGACAAATTTTTAAGTGAGTAATTCAAATGAAATCGATAAAAAAGGGTTCCTTTTGAAATAGTCAGCTATTTTGTTGAAGTTTTTAAGTTATTTATTCCAATATTAAAAAATTGTCGCGCTGAACAATCTAGGTTGCTCTTAATTTACGACAGAAAAAGAATTTAATACTAGAAATTTGACAGTACACCTTTATTTGAAATTAACACCCATTTTAGAAACAAAGATGTGTCTTTCTGTCATCAACATTTCCTATCAATGATAACACACAGTTGAGCTAGTAGTTTAGCTGATACACTAGGCTCCTTCTTACTTCAGTTGAATTAAACTTTCTGTCAACTTTCCAGTTTTCAAATCCAAGCACTTAACTAAAACAGTTACTTCTATTTCAATATAAATTTTAACTTTGAAAATTCATTTTATCCACATATGAGCCACTTAACATAATTTTTTATTAACTTATAAAATTTTATCCAATTATTAAATCAACAAAAAAAGGGCCTTGTAATATTTTCGTTTTTTATGCAATCAAACTCCTTAAATATCAAATATTTAGAAAAAAAAAGAAAGAGTCAATGACCGCTAGCTTGGGGTGAAATTCTACAATAAAAACAAAAAAATCATAACTGCTTTTTATTCCGCCCTGAGTTTTTCAATAAAAAAATAAATATACAATATTTTTTATAAAGTAAACGAGACAAATATTTTAAAGAAATAAAAATCGCAATAAAAAATCTACTTAAATCATAAAAGGATACTTTCAACACATTATTACATACTTATGTTTACCATCCGTACATAATTTTTATATTTAGGACAATTTAATTTCTTTTTTTATTTTTCCTCTTTTGGCTCTTATGCTTTATGACGATCACATATTTATATTTATTTCCAAAAATTCCTATTCATAGACTTCCATATTAAATCATTCATCCGTCAATATATTGAGTTAATTTAACGCAACAAACTTCACAAGGAGTTACTGAATTGGAAATGATTTATGGTGCTTATCCAGTCAGATTTTTGTAAAAAAATTTAGAGGTATTAAAAAAAATTCTACAATTATTTCACCCATGTGAAATATTACATTGACATTTGGTTTATACCTATATGAGAATTTATTTTTTTACTTATTAGGAATTGTAAAGTATATAGATCACAATTTATTAAATATATTCCATGTGCCCCAAGTTTTATTTTAACTAGAGACTATGAGTTTAAATAACTTATTGAAATATATGGAAATATGTGGGGTTAAATAACACGTTAGGTGGAAGCTACTGCCAATACAGTAAATTTTTAAATTTAAATTATTAAATTAAGCATTCTAAGAGCGCCTAAGGAAGTCTTAAAAAGAAAATTGGTCTTTAAAACCATTTCTAAATGAGACGTGGTGATTTGGACCCCACTTAACACGCAACATCGAAGCATCTTTTTTTGTCCCGATATTCCAATATGATCTTTTGAGTCTGAGAACTTGTCATGATATGCACATCAGCATATGAATATTTCTTGTACTAAATATGAGTGCAGTCTCCACATCATACCCATTCGACATGACGGTAGAACAGGAAAGTCAATGTTTTTCTCATCGCCTCTCAGTACTATTTTTTCAAGCGTTTGCTCCTGATTTGGGGAAACACTTTTAAAAAATCAATACTAACTATAAAGTTCACTTGTAGGACAATCTTGAGAATTTAAATTATAAACTAAGCCAAGGCCAAATTTTTAATTGTTAAGTTAATAGAAATACCCTTACCCGCCTATGTTATTTAACACCAAATTTCTATAATTAAAATTTTATAAATTGAAAACTTCGTTCAATGACTTCGCTAAATAAATTTCATTTGTATAAAAACATGACAAATTTTTTTCCTCTTTTTATTTTTGTGTAATTCTAGCATATATGAGAAGGATTAATTTACTCTTTCATTCCCTTTCAGCTTAGGCTACTTAATGAGCTGTACTTTTCCCTTTGAAAAATAATACAATTTTTTTTGATTTTTGTCTTTTTTCAAATAATGTTAAAGTTTTTTTTTTACAAAATTTTTGGTCCTTTTTCTACATTCTATGATGGGATGAAAAAATAATTGTAATAAATCATGGCAAATGTGGCAAAAAATGAGTTCTGATTTTAAAATATAAAAATTAAGTCTATATAAAAAGTGCAAACAATTCACAAATAAAAATCCAAGTCTATTTTTTAGGCATACACACACATTCGCATTCAATAAAAATAAAAATTGAATTAATGTTACATCACGGTCAACCGATTGTGAACAATTTATTACACAGATATTTACTAATATAGAAGAATTTTTATTGAGAATAGTATTAAACCAATTTATTATAGCAATTTTAGATCAGATTTAAAGATGCCCTTATATTGTAGTGGAAAAAAAAGCTTGAATTCGGAGAATTTATTCTTGTAAAGAAAGAAGCTAATAAAATGAATATTGACATAGATTAGCAACTTTTATACTGAATAATAATTGAATATTATTTATCTAAAACGGATTTTTTTGCCTTACCAAAGGTTTTTCATCTAACTTTATTGTGTTCCAGTAAACTTGTTTCGTCCGATGTTCTACAGTTCTCTCGCTACATTTCTATTTCTTTTGGAATGTAGCTTACCCTCAGGATTCCATTTTGTTCTCTAGCCTTCGGAGAGTATGTATGACCGATTCATATTTACATTCTCTTTCTTATTTGGATATCTAATGATTCCTGTCCTGTCAATACCCTGACATCATGCATTTAACAGTTTTTCATTAGACAGTTTTTCTTTATTAGCGAGGTCACACTTCCATATAGGAGCACCGGCTTATCGCAGGCACTGCAATTTTGTGCTCCCAGCCAAATGGCATTGTCTCCAGACCGGTCAGAGTATTCTAAACGCTATTCTGGTCAGTTTTATAGGGCTTTATCTGTCTTTTTCATCTCGATCCGTAGGAATTATACTACCAAGGTAGCAGAATTCAGGCACATCTTCTATTTCTGTATTTCTAAATTGTAGGGCGTTAATTCTCATATTATTTGTCTTACTCGTGTTTATTTGGAGATCGCTTCCACCGTCATCTGCATATTCCAGACTTTCAAGTCGATTCGCGTAAGTCCACTTAATACCTTTAGCAGTAATTGTTGCTCCTTTTATGATGTTGCTAGCACCGAAGCAGACTGAGCAGAACAGAAGTGGAGAAAGAGTCTGAACAGGAAGTGAATAGAAGCTATTCAATCTGGCCCCCAATCTTATGGAGTTGCTTAATTAATTCTTAATTATCACTTTATTACGTTGATTATTTTGTTTGGAATACCTTTATTTGCTAAGGAATGTAATATTGCCTCTCGGTTGTTTATATCGAATGAAAGATTATCAAAATCCGTTTCTAGCGAAAAAAAAATGGAAAGTGTTGTTTACCTCCTTTCGTTACTGGACTCTTTCATTAAAACATCTAAAATAAAAAAAGTTAAAAGTTGATTACAAATTTCAAATAGCTATGCAATCATCACATGAAATTTTCCATGCACTTTTCATGTACCTACATTGATTTTCTTTAATCAATTCAAAAATGAAATCATAAATTACGTACTTAGTTGCAATTTCAATAATTTCAATAAAAATAAAAAAATTTTTTTTTTGTTGATTTTTGATAATAAAATATTTTGGAATAGGTTTATAAATTATTTAAATTTTAAATACAAGCCATAAACTCTGTCGTATTCCTCTTGTCAATAGAAAAACAATTTTGAAATTATTTAATCGGATTATGATATAGAAAGTTTAGATAAATTTGGATAAACTATAAGCTATGGATTCGATGTCACCGTCACCAATATTTTACCATCAATTTTTGAATTATTTTACAAATACAAGGGCTTACATGGTATTTTATAAATTTTATACGAATGTATTTATAAAGTTGATTTTTGATTTTGGAAATATTAAAAACTTATTTAAATATAGAAAAAGGACTTATACAAATATTTATAGAATTTACAAAAATATTTTTGTTTGAATTTATTTTTGGAAGTTTTTTATTAAACAAAAAATATCTTCCGGTTTTTTTTTTGTTCAAATGTTTTTAATTGCGATTTGAAATTCAATTTTAATTTCTCCTTCATCTATATATGTGTTTGTGATATGAAATTCACTATAGAAATTTTGAATAGAAAATAAATTTTGTAGCACTCTAAATTGCTTTCGAATGCATAAAATTAATTGAAAATTTTATTTTATTCTAAAATATAGGATTGCATTATTTAAAAAATAATTAAATTACCCCAACGACCGTGTATATTAATAATAAATTGATAACGTTAACAATAAAATAGCATAAGCAAACCAAACATACCTATGCGATTTTGTTCAACTTGTTTTAGAAGAAATTTTATTGAAACCATATGAACAATGTATAAAATGGTTGGTGTACTCCGGGACATGATATTTATAATGTAGAATAATTATATGCTAACAGATTATAATAAATTAGTTTAATTAAGGACATAATTATGTAACAAAACTCCTATTTTTAGGAATTATTTTTTATTTGCATCGCATTTTCTCTACGTTATAATTTATTTTCGAATATTCTATTGAATTTTTACTGCATGTTATATAATATAATATTTAAAATAATTTGGAAAGTTTTAATTAAATGTACGTGTGTATAAAATAAACATATTCTTATAAAAATTTTTATGTTTTTGTTTCTAGGAACTGGAGGACCTTCAATTGTTACAGAAGGAAAAGATGCATTATTAACATGTGTTGTAATGGGATCATATTTAAATGATACAGTATTATGGAGAAAGGGACCCCATGAAATTCTATCAGCTGGAATGAATAGGGTTACAAATGATAAACGTATTAGTATATTACATGACGAAAGTAAGTACATAAAAGTATAATTATTTATGAACATATACATATATCAAGTATAATATCAGGCTATAATATACTTAATATTATACAATAAAAATATGAAAAAATTATTCTCGGTTTTTAAACATTTTTGTTTTATAAGCATACCCTATAATTTGTTATACCCTATATTGTGTATTGCATCTTGGCAATAATTGGTAAAATAATTGAGTTCATTAATACCTTAAATATGTTAGGGTTTCTATATTATAGTAAAGGTCGGAACGCTATTCAATTTCCATGTGATATAAATAGCGGTTTATCGCTTCTTAAACTTCTTAATTTTAAAAACTATTACGCTACGTCTTTCACAAACAAATGTAGGAATATACTTATTTTTAATGAAAAATATTCCTGGTTGTGTGGATATTAACGGTTTGCCGTATTAAGAGATTACAATAGTTACCGCCAACTGTACCAATTCTGGTTGATTTTGACATTGTGGTCTCCCATTTTGCTGTTTCTGTATTCCTTAAAGTAACACAATCTCGGTCTATTGCCTCAGTTTCAACACTTGTTTATTTTTGCGTTGTCATTCCCAAAAAGAAAAAGTCAATATAAATTTTTTTATTTTGTTTTCGTTTTAGATTTAGATTTATTCAATAAAACTTATTTTTACATAATCACTTTAAAGTTATTAACTCTCATTTATCACTCTCCTAATTGTTCGAATTTTAATGTAATAAAAATGTTTTGCGGATCTCATTTTCTCTTCATCAATGACAAAATATAATTTGTCCAAATAAAAAAATTTCTGGCAACAAAAAAAAATAATGGTTTTAAGGCGTAATTTTTTTTTTTAATTTCACACCTTCTTGAATTTTTTTAATGAGAATACCAAAGAAAGAGAATCTAGAAAAAGAAAATTTGAAATCATTTGGAGACTCTTCTCTCTCTTTGCGATTTATAATGTTTATTTACAATGTTTGGTATTCCTCTTGCTTTTATAATTTTATTCAAGTCATTTTTACAATTTTTCATTAATTCCTTTAAGAGCTTATGTAATTTTCATCTTAGTGGCCCACCACAAATCTTCTATTTCTAAGAAAGTGGATAACAAAAAAAAATATTGTAAGTAGTGTTGCAAACCAACTACTGCTTAATGAAGCCATAAAAACCTTTGGGTTCTTTAGAAATGATTTTTAATATTCATTTTTAATTTTTGTTTACTTTCAACAAATTTCCAATTTCATCCCTTTCAATTAAAATGAAATAAAGAAGACCTTGTGAATAATATGTAGATTTTAATATACTAAAAAAAAGGAATAATAATAATGGAAAATAACAAATGAAATTTAATGAAATTGTGAATTGACAAAAGTGGGTGAAGGTGAATAAAATGAAAATAAATTTGCCCACAATTTTGCAGTAACATTTTCCCAAACGGGCAGAAGAAATGCTTACCGAAATATTAATCATGAAAATTTATTAATTCTTCGGCTTGGTTTTGGAACATGAATGAAGGTCATCAACATATTTCATTATAACATTTGCATTGCGCTATAGCATTTGTGAAACCGATTATAATTTAATGGTATCCGAATATTTAAAGAATATGAAAGCGTAACCTAAAATAAGTTCAAATAACGCAGCTAAGTAACCAAAAAAAAAAGTGAATTTAATTGAACATTGGGTTTTGCCTATCAATTCATAAAATTAATTCTTTCTTAATCGTAGCACTTTGCCTTTTAAAATTCTATAAAAATTTTTAAATGCCTCTCATAAAGCAACCATAGAAATTCATTATTTTTCTCGAAAATATTAATAGTATGTAAAAAGTTCTATATTGCAGAGACATTCAATTTTTTTCACATTTAAATTAATTTTCTTTATTTGTTTTCTTCTTATTTTTTCTAAAAAATTCTAAAACCAATCCATAAAATTATATCCAAAGATTATTTAAGAAGGACAAAAAGATATTTCATTAAAAAATAATTTCAAGAAAGGTCCTTTCTTTCTTTTCTAGAAATTTGAATAAAAGAAGAAGAAGAAGATGAAGATGAAGAGATCAATCAACCGAATTTCTTCTAAGGATTATTAAAATATCTCATAAGAAAATTAATTTATTTATATTTCTACATTCATTTTGTTAAGATTATGAGGATGAAAGTATCTAATTCTTATGATTTGAATATGACTATTGAAAATAAAATTAAAAAAATAAAAAAAAAAACAAAAATAAAACCTTTTGACAATTCAATTCAATTGGGTCACTCTTAATACCACTGAATTTATTTTAGGATTTTATAATGGTTTTCGAAACTAAATTAGGCAAAGAAATAATCAAAATAAATGAAAAGAAAAAAAAATATGCTTTCATCTCTCCTCTCAATCTCAAATATTCATAATGTGTAATGGATAACAAAAGTATGAGTGTATATGGGAAAGAGGGTTATTAAAAGAATCTTGAACTCATATTAAATTTTAATTAAAAAATTTGTTGATTTTTCATAAAAGGAGGGAATCATAAAGAAAAATTAAAGATCTTTATGGTTCACTACGTTTTGAAACCGCATAATGAAGGTTTTCCTGAGCCCTCATTTCTTTGTTTTTGCCTTCCTTTTTTTTTGATATTACTAAATATCACATACACCCATTCGTATATTTTTATAGGTTTATTATGGTGAAATTATAATGTTTCTATGAAAAATATCACAATTTCAAATGAGAATTTCTTCTTTTTAGGATTCAATGGGTACCCATTAATTTTTTCTATATACATACATATATGAAAAAGACGACGTTGGTGTATTGGAAATTTTTGTTTTTCTGTTTAAAATATGAATTCAATGAATAAATTTAAAAATTTTTTCTGGTGGGCTTGTTTTTTGTGTTTCTTAGCAAGAATTTTTGACTAAACAAATTTAATTAGACCGCAATTTTCAATTTGGTTATGTTTCTATTCTAGTATTTAACTTTCACGCTCTATAAATCTCACATTTAATTCAACTTCTCAAATTTTAAATTAAGCATCTTTGGTGGGGGTATTAAAATTTATAATGCCAAAGTTTTGGGTCCACGCTTTTTTTTCTGCATTTATTGAACCGGTCGCCTGTTTTCGCTGCCTAAAATCGTGCATATTTTTCAAGGGCCACTGATCTGATTCCTAAAACATAAATTGTATTAGTTTTTTAATATTGTTAAATAAAAACTATGCTCACATACATACAAATCATTCCAGTTGTGCCTCTTATCTTTTTAATTGCTGCTTTTGTAATAGTTAAACCTATAGTTTAGTTTAAAAAAATAGGAACCTCTTATTCCAAAATGCTTTTGCAATATGTACTACGTAAACAATCCGGATTTTGAGTTAAAATGCTTTTAAAGACCCCTTGATCTCGTTATATTCTTCCATATATTGCTTTGGTTACAACTTTTATATTTATTAAATTGACTGAAAATATCAAGTAAATCTTTTCAATTTTGGGTTTTGGGTAAAAAAAATTAGTTGAAAATTCTTTCCAATATTTTGTTTTTTTTTTGTTTTTTTATTAGAAAAAATATTTGAAATTCAAAAACAAAATTATCTTATACGTTTTCATTTATGAAATTATAAAATTTTCAATCCCAAAACAACAAAAAAAATATTTTTATAAATAATTTAAAAATAATTTAATTATTTGTTTTGTTTTAGAAAACAAGAAAAAATTGTAAGGACTGAGGTTTATGTAGATGTTTGATTTTATAAAATGAAAATTTTTTAGTATTAGACTTGGAGAAATTCAATTATGGAACAATTTTTCCATAGAAGAAGTCAAACTATGAAAATTTGACTAAATTGCTTAAGAGTTTTATTTCTCATTCAGTGCTTTAAAATCTCTCAAACAAATCTTTTTCGATTCGGCAATAACTACTATTTCGTTCATCTGTTAAAAAATCTGTCAAAATGTTGTCATTTTTCTTATCAATCAGTTTAACTGTCAAATAATATTCATAAAGCAACTTTACTTTTTTTATTTTAGATTGGTTGTTCTTTGGCAAATAAATTGAACGAAGTCTGATCGATTTAAGCTAACTGATTAGAATGTATTCGCCATTGATAATCCTTTAAAAGCTTTGTACAATAATTTTAGCTTCAAAAATTGTTATAAACAATTAAAGATGCGTGAAAGCAAAACTGTAAGAATGAACTTTCCAGACGAAAAAATTAGAACATCAAAAAACAAACACAAAATTTAAAAAGTTTCAATATCTTGAATCTAAAATAAACTTGATTGAAAAATAGAAGTGACGACTTGCAAATAATCAACCGGTTTCATTTTCACTAATTAATAATTTCCTATTTTTACCCCAAAATATTCACAGTTTCTGACTTTCTAAACTCTAAAAATGAGTATACGAGGAACATGAAAAAATTTCGAACCCCATGATTCTTTTTTAGTGTTAATTAGGCCTTTGTAATTATTTTGTCAAAGATTTTTGCATTATTTTATTTTTCTTTCCTTTTTTTGTATCAAAAGAGAGATAATAAAAATTTAGTCACTATAAATATGAAAGAATTTCCTTTTTCTCTTTGTCTACGTTCCCACACACACACCCCGCCTCTCCTTTTCTTTCTTTGAATTTTACGTTTTTTTTTTGTCATTATTTTTCCCATTTTTTATTTTTTGGTTAGGATATTTTATACCTCATGACTTTTTTTTGCACTCTTCTCATTAGTTTGTCATAATTTTTAAAGACTTCAGTATTTTTTTGTCATAATTAAAAAATTTTACTAAAAAATTTTATCACTCCCCCAATTATAATGAATGAATCAAACCGAAAATTTAAAACAAAGAAAATTTTTTAATTAAAAAATTGCATTTTGTAAACAGGTGGCAAAAAAAAAAATTCTAGTTTCAATATTAAAGAATTTTTGATGCATAATTTTCCCAAAAAATTTCGTTAAGTTCAAGAGCCTTTAGCGTTAATTACTGTTGTTATCGAAAAATTATTGGGAAGTGAAAATATTAAATTAAACTATGAAA